ATATATATATATATATATATATATATATATATATATATATATGAACACACACACACACACATATATATATCACACACATACATCTATGTCTCAAGTTCTCTCTTTTACTCAGTACTTTTACTGGCATTAAAGTCTAATGGCTTTCCTTTATTTACCTTATTGACTTATGAACCCCCTATGCTTTCGCTATTTAGCGTTCGAAAATGGGTCGCAACGTCGCTAGTTGAGAAACTGTTGGTACTTCTCGTAACTGTTACAAAAAATAGCATTTACGCGAGAGTTTAGTAAATCTGGCCCCTGGGGTTTACCTCTCCAATAGAGCACGTGTCCACCATTTGGTATCTTTTGTTTTTCGCCTACAACATCCAATTTAATGAAAGAGATTTCCTCAAGTAATGCTCGTATGTCGGATTCAGTTCTCAATGTCCCTATATTATATGTGCAAAGGTTCATCAACATGGGGCGGCCTGTTTTTAACCGGAGATTTTTAGCACCCTCTGCTGCTAGTAGCAGGGAATGATATTAGGTCATGCTGGTAAAGATACATCTAAGTATATTTAAGAATAACAATTGCAGATGGAAATGGAAGAGCCAAGGAGAGAGAGAAAAAAATGAATTGATGCTGAAAAGGGACCAGGAGGAGGCTAGAAACGAAGCCGAGAGAGAGAGTAAAATTGCCACATGATTTCGAAATGGCTAAAACTATATTCCAACAAATGCAGATAGCTTATCGTCCACCGTTGTCCATCTTCAAGAGCATCCTATTTCATTCGGATTGAGCGGGTTGCCAGTGTTCTCGGCGTATCATTTAATCTTTGGCTCCATATGTAACTAAAGACTATGAGGCTCTTATAGGATTATGTGAGACTCCAGATCAATATAGAACCGATTTTCGGTCTTGTATGATTAAAATTTGGGAGACTTATCAATTACCTATTTCGTTAGTAGGCTATTTCACCAGTGGATTGAATCGCGGGATGCTGTGATTTTTTGAGATCTATTAGGAAATTAAATTTTCATCAGTTCATTTTTTTGTGAGGATGTTCATCGAGGAACGTAACACTCCTTGCCTTGATGCTGTAGTTGAGCTAGGTGACACTAAATCATCTGTATATAACGTATACTCAAAGGTAAGTAATGATGAATGTGGTAAGAGAAACCCCAAATCTCCTGCACCAGTGGGTTTGTGTCAACTGCTTTCGTAAACAGTAAGGTAAGCATTTGGTGTCATTATTGTTAAGAATTTGAGCACATAAAACCCAAGTATCCTAATAATCAAGCAGTTTAAGTGGGGTTCCATTTTCATGATTCAACACTTACCGTGACACCGGTTGCTCGTGTACCACCGTATCTGAGGACGTACTGCCTGACACAGTTGATTCAGAGTGTAGGAAAGTTGAATTTATGAAAATCTAGGTAGAGTGAATATTTTTCCTGAAGTTGGTTGTTCCTTTAAATGATAGTTCTTTGGTGGCTGGGTTAATGATTTGTATGTCGCAATCAAATTTTGTAGCGCTCTGGTAGGAAAGTATCCTGGGATTTGAGGTGCCAGCATCCCTTGTGGAGATAATGGGTCAGATCAGCTTCAAGTTGTTCAATCATGATCCCATAGTTTTATCAAAATTGGTATCCCTTAAACTCACAGCTGAAGAGTTTGCTAAAATACAAGACAAATCCCCTCTTTAGAATCCAAGTACTCAAAAGTAGATACCAGTGAGGTAGATGAATCGAGGAATGGTACTGTGGCTCATGAAAAGAATCTAGGATAAAAGCAATTTTCTTATGGCTAAATAGAAGTTCAGAGGTTAGAGACTTTTGCAGCTCTTATGATAGATGTCAAAGAATGTTTTCCAAAGGCAGAGTAGCTCCAGTTTCACTTAAAATTACAAATATTACTGGGCCATTCTCTTGAGTGGCTGTAGACTCATTAGGTCCGTCTGTTGAAGGACACTGCTAACACGTAAATTTTGTATAAGATTCCCCTAGCGAAAATGGGAAGAGTTAAACGCATTTATCCCACTCTGAAGGAATGCCTTTGTAAACTGTGTTGTGATACGCCAAGGGACTGGTACAGGTACCTTGTTCCTGTGATCAGACAGGCTTTTCATCTCTTCATCAATAAGAAAGATCGGATTACATATCAGTATATCATTGAGCTGAAGGATGAGCTTTCCCAGTGTGTTTAGGATAATGCTAATATCGGATTAGGACGTTGCAAAATCTTATTGATCTGAGGTTCCAAGATCCCAAATCTAAGCTAGGAGATAAAGTGTTGATTCTCTTGCCTAATAGCAATAACAAGTTTCTCTCTTACAACTTAGGAAATGTGTAGATTATTTTATAGATGAAAAATGTGAATTCCAGGTTGTATTTCCTAATAAAAATTTTATCGGAGAACAGTTTTTTTCAAATTTCCTGGTGTTGAAATTGATGATAAGATTGATTCTCCACTAATTGTACACTTTGTTCATTTTGAGTAGGTACATCATTTATTAATGCAAGCAATCATATAGCCGTCTACTTATCTGTTCAATTCCAATGATGTGATGGTGAGAATGTCAGATGGAACAGTTTTCCATGCTGAGCCTTCATGTAGTGTTGAAGATTTAAGTTTAGTGGATCTTGCACTATGGAAATTGATGTTTAATATCAGGTACCTCTGTCTAACAATGCAAAATTCAAGTGTAACACAAGTAGCTCCTCATTCTCTTGATGAAAATCTTTGTTGGCAACTTCTGAGGTCAGCCCGCCTCCTCGCCATTATACAATACATTTGTTGAATAATTTTTCTTATGTTTTCGATTATTTGTACCATTGTTATTACTGGAGCATTAAAAAATAATAAAAAATAAGAGTGCGCTATGAGACATCATACATATCATTTACTAGATATTATTATATTTACCAGATGGAAAACTAAACTTTCCCTCTTTTATTTTTGAAAAAGCAACAGTTCTTTTCCTTTGTTGAAAGGGCTAAAGAGGTGAGTAACTGAATTAAGGTGAGGATTAGCAAAAGGGTGATTAGATCAAAGTTGTCAGAGGGAAAAGTGTGGGATAAGGGTAAGGCTGGGATGTATAGCAGGAGGATGAATAGTTTTTTTTTTTTTTTTTTTTTTTTTTGGGGGGGGGGGTCATACTATCAAGAGTTTCTAAAATGGAGTTGGTTGGGGAGATCTGATAAACGAAGATAGAGTGAGGAGGAATAGTAGTAGGCACCAGGGAGGCAGAGATTGGAGTGTCTAGATTTTGAATGGCAAAGGATATTAAAACAGAGGGAGGGGGATAGCACAGGAACGTATGGAATAGATGGAAGATATATTGGGGGAGATTTAGAAATATTTTGGGGAGAATGGGAAGGGGATATATACATTACTGCGCAGGGTAGTATGAACGATCATGGCCAAGTTGGGCACATAGATGGTCCTTGTGGAGAATACTGTTGCACTCTACTAACACTGCGTCAAAGTCAACGAGGCAGGCAAGCAATTCCTTTTCAGTCTAAATACTTGTCCTAGACAGGATAGTCAGCCGGGCAGATGGAAACAGTTCTGGTACCAGTATTAAGGGAGGAGAGGGGTTGGATAGGAATAGGTTTGCCAATGTAATCAGTCAGGGTAGATAGTGCATGAGCTTGGGGCTCGAATGTAACTTTGATAAGATGACTGCAAAAGGAAACTTTCCCTCCTTGTTTCCAGACACTGTTGGAATAGGGAGGGGGGGGGGGGTATTGTCGGAGTTAGGGGCTGTATGGGGAATCACAAAAAATCAACCCCACTTAGCTGGATTAAAGAGAGTATTCAAACGATTTGTGCTGAGTGCGGTATTAATAAGAGAGGAGGGATTTGACGAGTTAATGATCAACAGGTTACAAAGCAAAATAAATGTGCTAGACATCAAAGGTCATTTAACACTATGGAAGGGTGGTCTAGTTGATGATTAAATGTGCTACAAGTCAAAAGCCGTAAAGCAGTTCAGGATATGGCATTGAAAAGGGTAGAGAGGGGTAAAGAGAGGGCTGGTTAACTGTCAAGGGGAAGGGGTCCATATGGTAAGGTAGGGATTAGCATAAGGAGAAAGGGGAGTTTAAGGACGAGTAATTCAGTACCAGGGGAAAAATCAGGAGGGAGAGAATCTAATGAAGGGGGTTGTTGTGACAAAGTCATATATATCCTGGGGAAGAGGGAGGTGATACTGATGAAGCAAGGAGAATGGGATGTGCTGGGAGAGAGTGTAAGGGGTGTAGGAGTACGAGTAGGAGGATGGATGACAGCAATTACTCTGAATGTAGAGGGAATGGGAGCAGAGAAACTGGAGGATAGACGAGGTGTAGGTATGTTAACTGGGTCATAATCAGATTGCTGTGAATGTCTTCAAGAGTTTCTAACGTGGAATTGGTTGGAGAGAAGGGGGAGGGTGTTCACATGAGGTAGAGAAGAGGAGGCAGATGTTTGAGGGGTACAAGGAAAGGTTGAGGTAGGAATGGATGCGGTGAATAGTGGAATATTTAGCTTGACAAGTTGAACAAAAAGCAAAAAGGAGTAAAGACCAGGAAGAAGAGACTGGAGTGTCTGGAATAGTGGTAGAGATTAGGGTGTCTGGATTTATAATGGCAAAAGAATTTGACCGAGAGAGAGGGAGAGGGTAGCAAGGGATGATTAAATGACTGTGCAGAGCAGTTTTATCGACCATGACCAGGATGGGCACATAGAGGGCATTAGTTTAAACATGAAGAAATCTTGGCAATATTGTTGGACTATGGCAGCCTCTAGGTGGAATGGTGTTGCAATGCAATTCTGGTTCAAACAGACTGGGTGATAAGTTTCTGAGTGTGTAATAAGAAAAATATGAATTAAGTAATATCTTTATTATAAATTCTCTTGGTACTAACAAGGTCACTGACTATAAAACAGATAAAATAATATAAGCAGCATTTCTTTGTATACTGTTTCAGGTAAATAAACCATATGGTGTAACTAAAAGAACAAGTTTCTTTCGGAATCAAAGACGGCCTCTCTGAGATCTCCGCTTTTTTTCTGCATAACGATTCTTTAAAGACCATTCTAAATTTTCTATCAGAATTGATATGAATATCCGCAAGTCATCCTTTGCCTCTATTCCATCAGGTACATTCTCCTGCAAACAAACTTTCTTTGTGGCAAATTCTCTTGCAACGCAGTTTTCTCGATCTTGATCTTCCTTTGTATGTGATGCTCCTCCTTTAGCTGCTCCAGAAAGGTTTTGCTTCATCCCATTCTTCTCTGTGGGAGATTTTGTAGCAATGAAAAACTTTTCTTGCTGCCAACACTCTCTTGTGGGCACTTCGCTTGTAAAAAGATTTTCCTGAGCCTGCTCTCTCTGTAAGGGAGGTCTTGTTGCTGGAAAATTTTCTTGAACGTGATCTTTCTGCATGGGAGATTCTTTAGCAGGAAGATGATTTTCTTGAAATTGATCTTTCTGGAAGTGAAATTCTTCAGCAGGAAGATTTTCTTGAAACTGATAATTCTGTAAACAAGATTCTCCATCAGGAAGATCCTTTTCTTGATTATGATATTTCTGCATTGGAGATTTTTCAGCAGGATGGTTTTCTTGTCCTTGAGCTTGTGTGGGAGATTTTCCAGCAGGTTGGTTTTCTTGATCATGAGCTTTTTGTATTGGAGATCTTCCAGCTGGAACACTTTCATGATCATGATCTTTCTGTGTGGGAGATTTTCCAGCAGGATGGTTTTCTTGACTCTGACCTCCCTGTATAGAAGAATCTCTTGCAAGGTTTTCTTGTGGGTTACTTTCCTCTGTGAATGATTCACTAACAAGAGGAGGCCAATTCTCCATGGTGGGAGATTCTCGGACAACAGAAAGCTCTTCTTCTAACCTGCCTCCCTCTGCTTCCTGAGCCCAGCCTTCCTCAATAGAAAGTTCATCAATAGCAGGTAAATTTTGTTGCAGCCAGTCTTCCTGTGTGAAAAAATCAACAGCCTCTTGAGCTTCTATATCCCAACCTCCCTCCATGGGAAATTCATTAATAAGAGGATATTTTTCCTGCAGCCACCCTTCCTTTGAAAGGTATTCGATTGCTTCTTGAGCTTCCTGAGCCCAATCTTCCTCTGTGAGACATTCTTTAACTTCACTTTGTGATTTACCTTCCTTCAGAGGAGATTTCTTTACAACAGACAAACCTGCTTTTTGTCGGGATGAGGACCTTGTCACCATGGGGTGCCTAACTACTGGTAGATGCTCATGCTGCCTGACTGTGCGGGTACGATGATACTGCTTAATTGCTCGTGGACGATGATACTGCCTTTGATTAAATTTTCTTCTGTTTCTACCATTTTTTTTATATTCTCGTATCAAAGACAACACGGTTAACTTATCTATGTGTTCTGTATTTTCTTCATTTCCGTGATTCTTAATATGATGATCTAGCTGGGACCTCCAAATGAAATTCATATTACACACAGTACAATGGAATGGCTCCTCACCTTGATGAATTCTTACATGTTTCCTAAGAATGCACTTTGCCTTGAAACTTTTATCACAGTATGTACATTTAAACTGCTTCCTGCCAGTATTTCTTTTCATATGCCTTGACATGGCCAATTTCTCAAAGAATTTCTTTTCACAGTATAAACACACAAAACCCTTTTCATCTGTATGAATTTTTTCATGTTGCTTTAATTCTGAAAATGTAGTGAATTTTATCTTGCACTGTGAACAAATGAAAGGTTTATCACTAGTATGCATCTTCACATGCTGTATCAAATCATTTTCTAAAGTGAATCTGCATTCACACTGTGTACACTGGAAAGATTCTACCTTAGCATGTGACCTTTCATGTTCTATCAAGTCATCCTCAAAACTGAACCTGTACCTACAGTGTGTACACTGGAAAGCTTTTACCTTAGTATGTGTCTTTTCGTGTTGTATTAAGTCATTCTCCAAACTGAACAGTCTCAATTCATTCCTTGTGTAAATTTTCGTCTTACAGTGTGGACACCTAAACAATCTTTATCTATCTCTTTCTTGGATGTAACTGCAATTTTTAGGCAGTGGCAATCGTGCAGGACACAATGCTTGTACCTTGAGAGAAGCGAAGCTCCTTGGCCTGCATTGAATCTTTGGGGTATTTTCAGTAACTTGAGGAAGATCCACTCGGTCCTGTTACCTCTACTTCTTCCCTCTGTAACTCATTCGGTGCCTTTTTAAACGGGAAGTAAGGAGGCCTCCTCTTTACAGTTTGTGTGTTTTTCTTCTGAAGGGATCTAACACTCAGAAATGAACACTGAAAACCTTTATCCTTTTGTATAAGTTTTTATGTGTTGCTTCATCTGTGCTAAGGCATTCTCTGAACCACATTTGTGTGCACACTGTGTACACTGGAAAGATTCTACCTTAGCCTTGAACCTTTCATGTTCTATCAAGTCATCCTCACAACTTAACCTGTACCTGAACTTGCTATCACACGTGTACACAATGGAAGGGTTTGTTACGAGTATGGGTCTTTTTATGCAGTCTCAATTCATTTCCTTGATGTAAATTTTTTCTTACAGTGTGAACACCTAAACAATCTTTTATCTATCTCTTTCCTTGGATGTAAACTGCAATTTTTAGGGCAGTGGCAATCCTTAGCAGGACACACTGCTTGTACCTTGAGAGAAGCGGAAGGCTCCTTGTCCTGCATTGAATCTTTTGGGTTATTTTCAGAAACTTGAGGAAGATCCACTCGGTCTGTTACCTCTACTTCTTCCCTCTGTAAGCTCATTCGGTGCCTTTTTAAACGGGAAGTAAAGGATGCCTCCTCTTTACATTGTGTGTGTTCTTCTGAAGGGAATCTACACTCAGAAATGGAACACTGAAAACTTTTATCCTTTGTATAGTTTTATGTGTTGCTTCATGCTGTGCTAAGGCATTCTCTGAACCAAATTTGTGTGCACACTGTGTACACTGGAAAGCTCTATCTTTGGTATGTGTCTCTTCATGCTGGATTAAGTTGTTCTCAGTTCTGAATTTTTCCTCACAATGAGAACAACTAAGGAGAACTTCATGTGTCTCTGCATTGGCATGTAAACTGCAATTATCAGGACAGTGACAATCCTTTGCAGGACATTTATCTTGTACCTTTGGGGAAGGACAGGACTCTTCATCCTTCAATGAATCTGCTTCTGGGGAGTTTTCTTCTATTTGCGGAAGACTTTTCAGATCTGTTCTTTCTTCATTCATTTCTTCCACTGGCATGGGACAATCCAAAGCAGAACACAATGGGGGATCTTTGGTAACTTGAGGAACATCCACTTGGTCTGTTACCTCTACTTCACCACTCTGTAAGCTCTTTCGGTGTCTTCTTAAAAGAGAAGTAAGGGACACCTTCCCTTTGCATTGTGTGTGTTCTTCTGAAGGGAATCTACACTCCTCTTTATCCTTATGTGTTTTTTTATGCTGCACTAAATCATTTTCTGAACCAAATTTGCGTGCACACTGCGAACACTGTAAAGCTGTATCTTTGGCATGTGTCTTTTCATGCAGGACTAACTCATTCTCAACTCTGAATTCTTCCTTGCAATGAGAACATCTAAACAGAATTTCATGGTTCTCTGTACTGGCATGTAAACTACAGTTATCAGGACACTGACAATCCTTAGCAAAACATATATCTTGTACCTTTGGGGGAGAAGGGGACTCTTCATCCTTCAATGAATTTACTGCTGGCGAGTATTCCCCTATTTGTGGAAGACATTTCAGGTCTGTTCTTTCTTTACCTGTCTCTTCCTGTGGCATGCTCTTTCTAATTCTTCTCAAAAGGGTTGTAAGTAATGTCTTACTTTTGTCCTTTTTTGTGTGTATCAAAGCATTCTGGTTAAGCTTTTTATCACATTCTTTATTTCTCACATGCTCTCTAAGAATGCACTTTGCTTCAAATACTGCATCACAATGAGGGCATTTATAGAGTTTTTCAGCAGTATACAATAATATATGTTTTTTTAGAATTTTGTCTGTGGCAAACTCCACATTACAATAGTGACAAACAAATACATTCTTCCCAGTATGAACCTTCAAATGTGTTTTCAGCATCACTGTGGAGAAGCATTTTTTTCCACATTGTGAACACTGGAAAGTCTTCTTGCCATGGTGTGTATTTTCATGCTTTCTTAAAGCGGTCTTTAGTGTAAACTCTTTTTTACACTCCATGCATCCATATATTTTTCCCGCTGTATGTGTCTGTGAATAAGAACTTGAATCATTTTGAGAATGACCTGCAGTGGAAGATATCCCTCTTTGTACCTCAGGAATACAAAACTTTTGCTCATCCATATTTTCATTCCAGGCCTCCTCTCCAGAGTCTTTAACAGAAGTTGGACTGGCAGGCTCCTCTTCATACTTCAGACAGTCACTACTTGCATGAATTTCTACATGCTTACTTAATAGAGATTTTGTTGTGAATTCTGCATTACACTGTTGACAGCTAAATACTTTCAGAGTTATGTGAATTTTTACATGTTCTTTGAGAGCACAGTCTGCTTCAAATTTTTCACTGCAATAAGAACAACTGACATGCTTTTCACGAGTATTAACTCTTATGTGTCGCTGTAGGTTGGCTTTACTCTGGAATTTGTAACTACAATGTGGGCAAGTAAACTCCCTCTCAGAATGAACTTTCAACTTATGGAATTTTAACTCATACCTGGTTATGAATTTCTTTTTACACTGTAGGCACTGGAAAGGTTTCTCATTAGTATGTATCCTTTTCTCATGATTTACCATGTTTCCCTTAAACCTGAATGTCTTTTCACAATATGAACACTGAAAGGGCTTTTCACCTGCCTCTGTCCTTGAACTATTCTCTTTAGGACGCTCTTCTTTTGTGAGAGAACCTTCCAATACAAGCTGGGAAGGAGAGGACATTTCATCCTCTGGTGTAACGTTGGGAGGCTTTTTCTCTTCTTCATGAAGTTTAGATGACATCTCATCAATCATCTTTGCACTTTGCAATTTATCTTGAAAAATTT